GGGAAAATGTAAGATAAGCATTTTCGGTTTATGGAGGTCAACCCGGGTAGTATTTCAACTGCATCTTAGCGTCACATTACCTTTCCAGGCCTTTTTGTTGGTTTTAATCGGTTTTCTTTATAAGACCGCTCAAAATCAAAAACCGCTTAAAAACCACTCAAATCTTGCTTGAAAAACCGTTCAAAAATCACCGCAAGAAATGAGCGGTTTTTGAGCGGTTTTTTAAGCAAGATTTGAGCGGTTTGAGCGGTTTTTCCAAAAAAAACCGCTCAAACCGCTCAAATTTTGCTGGAAAACCGCTCAAACCGCCCATATCTTGAGCGGTTTTTGAGTGGGATCTCGACCCGGGTGCCGTTCAAGTTAATTTCAATTTAACTTCAAGTTATTTTCGAGTTAATCAGGACTTGTTTCGATGATCGCAACAGCTGATCTTAGTTATTAAATTAAATACCATAGGAGCGGTGGTGAAGTGGTTACGTCTCCGTCTCTCAAACGAAAGGTCGGATGTTCGAGACCCTCCATGATCCGTGCTCGCTGCTTGAGGGTGAAGCAAATTTAGCCAGCCCAGAAAATAACCAAAGAAATTGCATGTAGTTATTAAACAGGGGAGGGGTGTTGGACGCGTATAATGTAGAGTCCCATTTCCCATCCAAAAGGGCCCCTTTTGTAATAATTTTTGTTACCCATTTCTGGCTGACCAAGCATAGATTTTTCTTAAGGCACTTTTGAAAATCACTCTCGAGAAAATTCTATATTCATCCCTGCATGCAGCCAATTTGCTCAATAAAAATGTATATATTGTTTTCTTGGATATATTCTTAATATGCATGGTGATCAGTTCTGTTTTAAAGTTGAATTCTGTGGTAATAACTAGCTGACACAACACAGAAACCAACAAGAATCAAAACTAATTTGTTTAAGCTAACTCCGGGAAACCAAGGAAGAATCTAAGGTAAAGAAGCCATACTTGATGCTTTCAACAAGGCGAGAATCATGAGTTTTTTCGAGGGCGGCAAAAAATACACCGGCAAAAAATGACGTTTCAGGGCGGCAAAAAATACACCGGCAAAAAATGACGTTTCAGGGCGGCAAAAAAATACACCGGCAAAAAATGACGTTTTAGGGCGGCAAAAAATGACGTTTCAGGGCGGCAAAAAAGTACACCGGCAAAAAATGACGTTTCAGGGCGGCAAAAAAGTACACCGGCAAAAAATGACGTTTCAGGGCGGCAAAAAATGACGTTTCAGGGCGGCAAAAAAGTACACCGGCAAAAAATGACGTTTCAGGGCGGCAAAAAATGACGTTTCAGGGCGGCAAAAAAGTACACCGGCAAAAAATGACGTTTCAGGGCGGCAAAAAAGTACACCGGCAAAAAATGACGTTTCAGGGCGGCAAAAAATGACGTTTCAGGGCGGCAAAAAAGTACACCGGCAAAAAATGACGTTTCAGGGCGGCAAAAAATGACGTTTTAGGGCGGCAAAAAATACACCGGCAAAAAATTGACGTTTTAGGGCGGCAAAAAATGACGTTTTAGGGCGGCAAAAAAAATACACCGGCAAAAAATGGTATGATATAAAACGGATGTCGTGAAATAGTACCAAAGTTGTGCCCGCACCTAAAATCCGCTATTGCTTTCAACACATGTTTCGTTTTTTTTCCTTCAAAAAAGTAACAACTTTGCATGTATTTTTAGGACGAGATGCTGCGTCTGATGATGAGTGCGACCCTGAGAGACAGGCCCAAATTCACCCAGAACTTCATCCGCTACTCGGGGGCTTCCCTTCAGGAGTTCCTGAACGCCTCCACCCTCCTCGCCATGTACAGACAGGTGCGATAGCGGCAGCTTTCTTGCGCTGACAACATTTTGAAAATGATTTAAAAAATAACAGTAAAATCCTCCTAAGTGACAAAACCCTCCAATCTAAAATGCCGAATCGCATAAACTGAATTGCTCAAATTTCAAGAATTGCTGAAGGTTGATGAAATTTTAAAATAAATGTTGATTGACAATTGAGAAATACTTTTTTAGAGACAGAGACCCGATATTTTTGCATTAGATCGAAAAGTTGTCAAGGAAGTTGCTAACGCATAGAGCAACTTTCCATCATAAAATGGGCCAATTTTTATGAACATTTCATCTGTGATTCCTCTAAATGTTTGATTGCCAGTTTTTTTTAATGATGATTTGTTCAATTCACTAAACTGTTCTCCGAGTGTTTTATCTTGGTGTTTTCTAGAGCGACCCAACAAGTATCTTTGCACGAGTGTATCACAAAGTGATGGGATCCCCGGTGGACGGAGCCCTCTTGAGGTCCATTGGAACCTTCTTGTCCAAACTGTTGAACAACTCCTACAATATTGAAGTGTTCAACAACGACCAAAACATCGGTACGTTTTGATGGTGAACATCATTCAATTTAGTGGTCTCAGTGTGTAAATAATAAAAATTAATACAGGTAATAAAAGTCTTTGGAATAATTGTTTCTTTTCGATATATAACTCCATCGTTGGCAAAGGGGCACCTCCCCCCTCAAGATTTAGACACGCCCACAGCTCAAAATGACCCAACTGCTACTACTTAGCGACTTCCATTTTTGGCCGACCAACCCTAAACGTTTTCTGAAGGCGCATTTGGCCCTTATAAAAACTAGTTTTCTTGAAGATACACAAATTGCATGTCGTGCAGAAATTTTTGTCTGAATTGGGCCTTTTTTAGTTTCGGGAGAACTCATAAAATGTAAGTCTCAGATCTGGTAAATTTCGGCATATATTTGAACCACTGCATATGACCTTCATGTTTTTATAACCGCCAACAAAGTTTTTTTTAAAAAGTTTTACGAATTTTTGGTCCACACACGTGATGATTCTAATTGAGCTATGCAACCAACTTCAACAGCCTTGCAAAATCATTATAATACAATGAAAGTATGGCCATATTATTTTTTATCTCAGTTGTTTTTTTTCAGGTCCCGAGCGACATCTGTTCCTGTTTTCGCTTCTGCAACTGCAGGAACAGTCGATGGAGTTCTACTGGAAGGAGAGTGTGGGCGGCACTGGGAGTGCCCTGCTGGCTTGTAGGTACTTGAGGGCCATAGCACATCACTCTGAGCTGGATGACGAGCCAGAGGAACAGAAGAGACTGCTACAGCTGGCCACGTAAGTTATAATAAATTTCAGATTAAAAAAGAATTGAAACGAGTTATTTTTCTCTTTTTTTTCAGAAAAATGTGCACAAAAATTTGAATTTCAAGCAAACGTGAAAAAAAAAATATTAAGAAATATTGAAAAAGGGCAAAATTAATTGAGAAAAAAAATGATGTGATAAGAAAAAACTCTTGTTTTCTTAACAAATAAAAGCCAGACAAAACTTTTCTGATTCATAAATGTTGTAAAAGCTTGAGAACTAATTGAAAAATCTATTTTTGAGAGTTCCAATAACTTTGAACGGGCTGAATTCTAAATTTTAAACAACATAAGACAAGTATAACGTGCACCATTTTTGCAGGACTTACGAGCAAAAGGCGATCAACACCGTTGAACAGTGTTCGAAGGACAACGAGATTCGAACCCTGAAGCTACTGACCTACAGACAGGACATCTGGTTCCAGAGCGACCTCATAGAAGTGGCTGACCAGAGCGACTCGACCAAGTTCATAGCCAGCGAACACGTGCAGGAAGTGCTGGACTGGAAGTGGCTGGGAAGGATGTCAAAAGTCAACCCAAAACTATTGGTGGGTAAATAAAACACAGCATTGTCAATTTTTCTAGACAAGAAATCATCGACATTTAAGCTACAAACAATTTGTTGTACAGTTGAACCAAAAGTTATATAATTTTTGACTCAGTTTTTGGCTCATTTTTACGAGTTCTGTGCTTTGGATTTTGTAAAGTTATTATCTGTTTTATGCTTTCCAGGTTTACTTGACAATCTTCCTACCATTCCTGGCCCTGTTCCTGAAATTTGACGCCGACCCAGAGGCATCCGAAAAGGTAATTATATTCGGAAACAGTCAGCTATTGCCATATTTCTATGTTCACTTTTGGTAGTTTTCGACATAAATTTTTACTTTTCTAATCTTTTACCTGTGGTTTGTTGATAACAAGAGAATATCAAAATTGTTTTTAAATTGATTTGGAAGACTTTTGGCTGTCGTCATGGCATATGACAATGGAGAACATATGACTTCATGATCTACACTTGAAATGGAAATTGGTAAATACGGTAAAATAGCTTTTTTAATTTTCACAACCTGACAAAAACTACTATTAATACGAACTTGTAATTTGGAAATAAAAATTGTAATTTCATAAAATATGCGCCTCATAATTATGACAAATTAGAAGAGAAAAATAAAACTTTGAAGATTGGAATGAAATAATATTTATAAAACATTTTAAAAAGGGTTGAAATGATAATAATAAGAAGATTGAATTGAACCCGCAAGGCGGGGATAAGTTGCTCTTAGTCAATGATAACAAAATTAGTAAAATGAATTTAAAAACCATGACTCTAGACAAATCGAGTTTTTAAATGTTTGTAGTTTGTCAACAAATAACAGGTTCAAATTCTTTCTAAAGATTACAGGTTCTTGAAAAGGATCATAGCCAGGCAAATTGTTTGACCTCACGAGGGTGTTTGACATTTCTGCGATACGGTAAAAGAAATTTTCTCAAGTTTACTCCGTTTTATCAATGGCATTCTCAAAAATGTCTTGTTTCGCGTTCGATTTGAATCAGGGGCCTTGATGATTGTCCAAAAATCAAGAGAACGTATCGGCAACTCGTTATTAAGAATGTTATTCAGTAGGAGTAAATCGTTTTTAATTAATGTTAGTAAAATTGGCAGCAGTTTGCTTTTGTTCTAGTAAAAAACATAATCCTCATCAACTAGTTCATGTTTGTACCACTATTTTAAGTGGTAATTAATCTATTCGCTTACTTTGGTTTTTAGTCCGAAACCAAACTGTAGATGCATTAAAAATTATTGATTGTACGCAACTTTTAAAAAGCGAAACCCGAATAGAGCTACTCAGTGAAATTGGTGAAGATTTTCTGATGTAATTAAATTGCATGTTTGCTTTTTTAAGCCTTCCGGTGATGTGGTTTGTTATCCATGACATTTAGAGATTGCAACAAACAACAAGGTCTTTTTTCGTGTCTTTTAAAACTATTTGTTCTCCATCAATCGGTAAAGATCGCTCAAAGGGTATCGCAAGTTTTATTTTTGAAATCTCATTTGCTCAAATTTGCAAAATTTAAGTCAATTCTGTTTTCTGCTGGCAAGCTTTTGTAATATCTAGAAATAGCGGGAGAGGTAATTCTCCTTGTTCTAAATTCTTCTATAAAACATCACAGTACAATATAAGGTTTGTCACAGTCAAATGATGTTTTCTAAATCCATGTTGGTTTTTTTTTAAATTTCTTTGAAGAATTTCTTTGAAGACCCTTTCATCTTGTTATATAAAACTCGTTCAATTTTTAAGAAGAGTGCAGGAAGTTTTGAAAACGATTTTTAGCTTTTATTGAGTGTGATGACATCCAATGGGGAGCCTTAGAGCGACGAAATGTTTTTTTTTGGAATACATTTTTTAACGGCTCGATAATACAATCCAAAGAACGTTTCAAACATTCTGTTTGCATCTTTCGAGCAATGAAAACTGTTGTCTTAAAAAAACGCAATAATTCGATGTCTGCTTTACGGATACAGTAACGGTTTAGATTTATCTGTTCCGTTTCAATTTCAAATACTATTTTACAGGAAAGTGTAGAATGATCTGAGAAGCTTTGGTTTATTTCGAAGTTTTTACATTGAAAAAGATTGTCTTTTAATAGTACGTCTTGCTGTGAAAAATAATTATCTGTCAGTAAACCAAGATTGAACTCAACCGCAATTGATTTCAAAAAACTGGGTTGACGTTGGTCATCACTTGATTAAGTATTCCAATCAACTGATGTTAAGTTCAGATCGCCGCATGAAATCCAGTGCTTTGTGTTCAAGTTAGATTCTATCTTATGAACGTTGAGTTGTTTGTTCAATTCACTCAAAAAATTTTCAAATATAATTCCGTTTAGAGTATAAAGACTGACATGCGGTGGATTGTAAATGGCTGTCACGCAAAACATTAGATTATTCAGCTTCACAAACAAATATGAAAGGCATATTGTTTTTGGAATATTTAGAAAGTCGTGGAATATCAGTTCTTAAAACAAAAACCTACGCAAATGGTACAACGACGAAAAGTTTCTCTTTAGTTAGATTATGCATTCCTGAACGCAGGCTAAGTCTCTTACTAAACTGACCTTTTACAAGAGCGATCTTTTATCAGACCACAAAGTAATAATTCAATTAGGATAAAATAAATTAGTGCAGATTTGGAAGAGAGCGATTAAACTAAAATATTTTTTTGCTGAGAAACAGTGAAATAAATGTTTTAACCAGACTAAACGGCGTCACTACATCTATCAATTTCATTTGTTTATCGAAACTGGTTAAAAGACCATATTTTAAGTTTTCTGGAAGAAGCTTGTTTTGGTAAAAAGTCATCCTCCCTGAATAACTATTTTCTAAATTTTCTGGTAGAAGGTCGGTTTTGGCAAAAAAAACTCCCCCTATTTACTCAACAATTGATCAAATTTTCATCGTAACGTTGACAAAACAACTAAATTTGGCCGCCAACGCCTGCTTCTTTAGAGCTACTTGCGTTCTTCATCAGAAAATTGAAGCAAATATTGACATTGGCCTCTGAGATTTTTCTTACTTACAGAATATCTACATTTTGTAAGAAAAATTATGAATCACCAAAAACTCGTTGATGAACTGTCAAAAAATTTACCTAGCTTTGAGTTTCACGGTCAATTTCGTGTTCAGTTGACAAATCTTTTTTCGCGCGCTAAAATTTGTTCTGCATTTCTTTTTCACATTTACATTTGGCTAAAAATGTATCTGATTTTACTAAGGACACTAAATTGAAAACAACCACAAAAAATTTTTCTTGATCAAGTTAGTGAGTCCGGAACATTCTGTTTCGATGGCACAGATACACGCTATTCTTCTGGTTTATTATAAAAAAAAACAAATAAGTTTCCAATTTAAATTTGGACAAACAAACTTGGGAGGTCGATAAAAAGCAATTGCCCGTCACGGATATGCCTCTCAGCAAAAATTTACCGCTTTTAAACAGTCTGAATCTAAAAAAAAAAGAAACCGTCCCGGTTATTGACCAAAAACATAGATGTTTAATAGCATTTAACGAGCAAATAGTAATGTGTTCATTTTCCCTAAATTCGTTCGTTTTGCAGGAAGTGGACAAGGGTAATGAGGTGGCAGGTGGGAAGCCCAAGCGGAAGAGGGTGAGGTGGTACAAGAAGAGCAAATAGTAAATTTCCTTAATCTTAAATTCAATCCTGTTGCAGGAAGTGGACAAGGGTAATGAGGTGGCAGGTGAGAAGCCCAAGCGGAAGAGGGTGAGGTGGTACAAGAAGAGCAAATAGTAATTTTCCTTAATCTTAAATTCAATCCTGTTGCAGGAAGTGGACAAGGGTAATGAGGTGGCAGGTGGGAAGCCCAAGCGGAAGAGGGTGAGGTGGTACAAGAAGAGCAAATAGTAATTTTCCTTAATCTTAAATTCAATCCTGTTGCAGGAAGTGGACAAGGGTAATGAGGTGGCAGGTGAGAAGCCCAAGCGGAAGAGGGTGAGGTGGTACAAGAAGAGCAAATAGTAATTTTCCTTAATCTTAAATTCAATCCTGTTGCAGGAAGTGGACAAGGGTAATGAGGTGGCAGGTGGGAAGCCCAAGCGGAAGAGGGTGAGGTGGTACAAGAAGAGCAAATAGTAATTTTCCTTAATCTTAAATTCAATCCTGTTGCAGGAAGTGGACAAGGGTAATGAGGTGGCAGGTGGGAAGCCCAAGCGGAAGAGGGTGAGGTGGTACAAGAAGAGCAAATAGTAATTTTCCTTAATCTTAAATTCAATCCTGTTGCAGGAAGTGGACAAGGGTAATGAGGTGGCAGGTGGGAAGCCCAAGCGGAAGAGGGTGAGGTGGTACAAGAAGAGCAAATAGTAATTTTCCTTAATCTTAAATTCAATCCTGTTGCAGGAAGTGGACAAGGGTAATGAGGTGGCAGGTGAGAAGCCCAAGCGGAAGAGGGTGAGGTGGTACAAGAAGAGCAAATAGTAATTTTCCTTAATCTTAAATTCAATCCTGTTGCAGGAAGTGGACAAGGGTAATGAGGTGGCAGGTGGGAAGCCCAAGCGGAAGAGGGTGAGGTGGTACAAGAAGAGCAAATAGTAATTTTCCTTAATCTTAAATTCAATCCTGTTGCAGGAAGTGGACAAGGGTAATGAGGTGGCAGGTGGGAAGCCCAAGCGGAAGAGGGTGAGGTGGTACAAGAAGAGCAAATAGTAATTTTCCTTAATCTTAAATTCAATCCTGTTGCAGGAAGTGGACAAGGGTAATGAGGTGGCAGGTGAGAAGCCCAAGCGGAAGAGGGTGAGGTGGTACAAGAAGAGCAAATAGTAATTTTCCTTAATCTTAAATTCAATCCTGTTGCAGGAAGTGGACAAGGGTAATGAGGTGGCAGGTGGGAAGCCCAAGCGGAAGAGGGTGAGGTGGTACAAGAAGAGCAAATAGTAATTTTCCTTAATCTTAAATTCAATCCTGTTGCAGGAAGTGGACAAGGGTAATGAGGTGGCAGGTGGGAAGCCCAAGCGGAAGAGGGTGAGGTGGTACAAGAAGAGCAAATAGTAATTTTCCTTAATCTTAAATTCAATCCTGTTGCAGGAAGTGGACAAGGGTAATGAGGTGGCAGGTGGGAAGCCCAAGCGGAAGAGGGTGAGGTGGTACAAGAAGAGCAAATAGTAATTTTCCTTAATCTTAAATTCAATCCTGTTGCAGGAAGTGGACAAGGGTAATGAGGTGGCAGGTGGGAAGCCCAAGCGGAAGAGGGTGAGGTGGTACAAGAAGAGCAAATAGTAATTTTCCTTAATCTT